ATAAGAAAATTAAACCTCAATATGATAGTAACATTACATTTTAATAGGTTTGTAGTTTAAATGAAATACACTAGGTTGCATTTTTTTTTTAATGTTGTAGTGTGTTTCAAAGATCTGACTAGATAACGGAATCGTACATCTATATATTTTTCCGCAACAGCCCGTATCAAATGTACTACATGATTTTCGGTCACAAATTGATCGAACTGGTGGAATAAAAGACCGTCAAATATATTGCTTCCTACAAAACATGCTAAAACTTTATTTAAAATCATTGATTTCGATTGTTTTGGTTTTAATACGAAATTCTGAGATTCATTGGTAACGTGGTTTATTACAGTTTCGGCCATTTTGCAGATTTTAATGACGTCTTCTGCTGGGTACCTTAATCCACCTTTATCCTTAAAGCTTATTAAAGTGAATCGTCTTTTTTCAAAATCGTTATAATTAAGTAAAGCGCTCATGCACGTTTCACACTTTAATTGCTTTAAAAGCATACCTACGACTTAGATATGCTACGACCTGGTTTGAAAATTCCGAGAAGTTAATAGGTGCTAGGAATACTGATTCAAAGTCGTCTGATTCATTGTTTTCATGAATTTCAGTCAGTGTGTTCCGACTAGCCGTAGCATTAATGGTACCCAAAGCAGAAGATCCATTTAAAATGCATATTTTTTGTAAGTCGACACAGTTACCACCTTCAGCGTGTTTTATTTCCACGTGGGTTACCAGTTTTTTGTAATAAGATTTGAATTTTCTGCTTGTAGGATTATTATTATAACCACCATGTGCACGTACATTGCAGAAAAAAAGTTCCAAATGGTCTTGTGAAAATTTATACATCGACAAAAACTGTATACGGTTATTTTCTATCAAATGTTGAAACGATTTTTTAGTACTTATTATACAGGTTAGAAAACCAACGAAGCCAGTCTTGCGACCACATGTTACCAAAGGTTGTCTTTCTGAATTTTTAAGTCCTTTTATATAAATTTCAGCTTCATTCAAAAAATTAAACACTTCGGATTTGTTTTTATGATTCAAAGGCTTTTTGTAATGGAATGCTTTTAGTGATCGCGAATTAAGAATATCAAATAAATCGTTAAATATCCTAATAAAGTCAACCGTGGCGCCACAATCTTTAAATTCATCTATTGTTAATTTATCCCTGCAAATTTCTATTGCTTCAGCAACACTTTGACTGAAGAGCTGGCTTGCTAACTTGACTTTCATCTTTTGATTATGAAAGTCAATATGACCTTTACGCAATTTATTACACATATGGAAATTTTCTTTTTCTTGCAAATCGTTCAATTTTTTCAGGTAAATCCAGTTTATTGGCTCTGGTTATCATAAAATTGGCCATATGCCTGGAAGGTGTTTCTAACCAATTTAAGTATATGGCATGCATCTAAAAGTACCATAACGGGCTCTTTTGATAGGGGATGATTAAAATACGGCTTCAAGTCATTAGGGTCAAAATTACATCCTAAAAAAGATACCATTGCTTTATTTGACGGGCATCCGTCAAAAGTTAACCCAACAACAGTCATGCCGGTTTCGTGTAGTCTTTCCAGGCAAGAAATAACTAAATTTTATTTCTGTTCTCCATTCACGCCACTAGACAAAAAATAGCCGACTGGTACTTTAAAGTTTCCGTTTATACAAGTTACTTATAATTAATATTACTTACTTCGTCACATTTTTTATGCAAGCTGTCACCAAAATCTTCGTAGCCATGGAAATTGGTACCGTCTCATTCAACTTTTCGCCTAATCGCCATTCCATCAATCATCAAACAGCAATATAGTGGATAGTCGACACTATTCACTTTCATTTTTACAGCATTTAAAGACTCATTAGTGAACCTTGGATTACCATCAAAAGATTCATACCATTTCCTCAAAGTACGTGGATGTGGAAGACTAAAATGAAATTTTTGTCTGACGTAATTGTACGCCTTGGGTGAGTAGGTAGTAGTTCAAAGTTAAAGCAAAAGTTCTAAGGGCTGGTGAATATTTGGTCTTGGTACTTGATTTTTTTATTTCTTAATTGCCGGCAACACAATTCTTTTGATGTTAAATTTAATTTTTTTTAAACTTCTGCATTTTCTTCATTTAGCAATGATTTTTCTTTGAGGTCGTGGAGTACAGTTTGGAGGATGCAAATCTTCTTATTTTGTCGGCGGTTTTTCTCTCGTAGGCTCTTTAGTAATAATTTATATTTATATAACGTGTACTTAAAACCAGCAAGTTGTCTTTTCAATTTCATTTTTCTTGGCATATCAGTAACATCAATTGAAGGCTGCAAACACAAAATAACCATATAATTATTCAACTTACTTATAAATGCAAATGCTTGATGATGTCATCTTTTTATAATACTCAATAGTTATTAGACAATTTACCTCAAGTGAAAGATGTTTTCCTATTTTGTATCTCTTAGGCATTAATGTGTTATTACATGACGTTGACGGTTTCTCTGCTGCTGTGGTCTGGCAAAAAATCAAAAACATTATCTACTTTGCTATCCTAGTTTAATATTATAAATAGAGGAGCTTAAAAAGATGCAACTTATGAGACGCGTCCAGTCTAACCGATCAATCTCGCTCGCAAATTCCCTTGCAGGGTTACGACTACTCACAGTTTTTGTCCCCGCTACACCTCATATGAGGCAATTGCTGCTCGTTGGTGTGGATGCAACTAATTACGTCACACCATAAATAACTAAATGAACAGAATTTCTGAAATTTGTTATTTACATCTATTGATTTTGATCTGGTTAATTAAACAGGGTTCATTCTAGCACTGACAGTGAATGTTGATATTTTAGTTGATATAAATATAAACTATAACTGTTTGTATACACTGTATACACATATTCGGCAAAAAAACCATAAATGAAATAGCAAAAATTTACGGTATTTCTTAAAAATTACACGAGTATAAGTTCAAATTTTTACCTGAGGTGATTGCTGTTTGTCTAATTCCCTTTTTTTTATATGTTATGACGTCGATGGCTCTTCTAAATAAATCTGAAAATTATTTTAAACAATGTATTGAAATTAATACATTATTTTTGACATTGCTGGATTTTCGTTTTTGCTGAACCGGGTGTAAGAAGTGACTTTTTGCATTATTCGGGTCACGCTACGAATGCTCGCAATCGTGATTTTGATAAACCTATGTCTAGAAGGCGCTTAGGTCCTCCAGCACTTACAATATTACAAAACACTTTACAATATTTAAGCATACATTTCTCTAAAAAATTAAAAATAATAATAATAAATAATAACTTGCGTAAAACGAATAATATTTTCATTAGGACTAGAAGTCGCTAATACTTCGATCAGAAAATACTTAATGAGCTAAATATAACCATTTACTTACAAGATTTTTAGCTTGCCAGACGTCAATTGTAGGATAAGCTGTTGGATCCAAACGTCGCCATTTCTTGGTTGCCTTATAATTCTCCTCTACAAAATGGGCAGAACAAATAGTATTAACTACAAAATTCCTACAAAATATTAAATAATATTTTGTAGGAAACCATTTCTTTCTGCCTGTAGCTTCAATCCAACGACTTTTAATATCCGGATCTTTTGGAAATCTATCAAAAATCGAAACGAAAAGGAAGTATTAATTATTTACAATTAACGTAAATATAATATTTTAAAAAAGGTATTTATAATGTATTTTAAAACAATATGTTTTCAAGAATTAGTCGACAACTCCCTAATTGTTTATTATACCCCATCACTAATCATAGGATTAGGATTAGGATCCCGTTCAGCATTGCTTTGTAACGTTACGCACGAGAGTAGATAGTTCGCTTAATACGATATAGGCTGCTCGCTACGTACAGCGTTAAGCGCATAATGCATTCTGTCTAGCACGTATTGGAATTTGAATTTAACTGTACTGTGATAGCAATGGAAGTTTATTAATTATTTTATGTTTTAACGTGTTTACTATATGTATTAAAATAAGATTTAAGTTAATGCAAATAACCCACCCTGTCCAATGTATGTACCCAGACTGTCCAATCTACTCAATGAAATCAGTCATCATTGTGATATACACCAAATCTCACTAAGCAAGTTTCGTGTGCTTGTTCACAACAAATTGTTAAATAAGTAGGTAGTATAGGTAGGTGATCATGTGTTTTTTGTTTCTGTTTTCTTTTGTTTCTTTTTTACTGTTAAATGGTTAGACATTATTTATTTATTATTCTTTAATCTTAATATAGGTACTTAATTACGAGTTTTCAGTTATGGCATGAGGTGTTTACCAGTAATTAACTGTTGCACTCAGTCTTTAAACAATGTTATGTATTTCTCTAGCTGTAGTTTTAGTGTAAGCAGTTGTTGGTGAACCAATAAATTAAAATAAAATTAAAATAAACTTATCCGTGAAAGGAAATGCCTCCCTTTGACCGACTGACTCTCGCACTCTTATTTAGGCAGTTAGAAATGGCACAATATGGCATTTTGCACGGAATTTGCGTCAAGTGAACTGTAGCAAGAATCGACGCATACTAAATGAGCGTGCGACTAATCTTGTACTATTGGACAAGATTAGACAAGATTGTGGCACGCGTGCCCCGCCCACATCGCCGTTCTATCTTGATTTATTTCGGTGACCCTTACACTTCCAAATTATTATTTTTTGTACTGTGTTAGGTGACAGTACTTCTCTGGACGAACACTTTCACAAGGCGCTCTACTGTTACTAACTTAATATAGTTTGGTAGCGTCTACTAGCTCTACTACGTATTTTTAATTTCTCCTTTTAATTTTTACACAGTACTGAAAAGAAAACTTTATCTGTACGTATACGTTTCCTTCCAAATGTTTTTACTGCAAAACCCAGCTATTTCAATCGAAAGCATTTCTAATGCAGAAATTCTATAACAGTCTTAAAAGAAAGCTGGCATTACTTAATACGTGAACCTTGAATACGTCGTATTAAAGTTGTTGATGCGAACGTTTACTTTTCCAGATTGCGGTATAGAAGAGTGCGCTGAAGGCTGCAAAGACAGAAGTACTTGTGACTGTAATCCAAAGTCAAGCGATTTCTGTAAGTACACACTTCATTTGTTTAGAAAGTTTTTTAACCGACTTCAAAAAAGGAGGAGGTTCTCAATTCGACTGTATGTTCTTTTTTTTCTTTTTTTTTGTATGTTCGTTACGCGATAACTCCGGTATTTGTGAACCGATTTTCATGATTCTTTTTTTGTTGGAAAGGGGTTACTTCCATAGTGGTCCCATTTCATTTTGAAGAAAATCATCCACCTCAAAGGGTGGCTGTTCACGCATGAATATTCATTTTTGTAAATAGCGCCTAACTTTAATTTAGGAGCAATTGCTTTTAGCAATCATTTAGTTGATTTTGCTATTTCTCCAATTCAAGGCGTTTTTCTCTCGACATACTTTGAGTAGTGTTGTAGTGAGAACCTATTTTTATTATCTCCAGTATCAATTCCTGTATAGTGGCGAACTAGGGGATATTTCAATGAAACTTAGCAAATAGACGTAATTCCACGTACTTTTGAGGTCGGTTTTTTTAGTACTCTGTACTGAGATTATTTATTTTGAAATAAGACATTATTTTGATCCTCACAGAGTTGATTGATCTATTTTTTAAATGTCCCCTTTTTTTAAATAAACAATATTTTTTTTATGTTTAATGTATATGTACATTAACTGTGTGATAAATTATAAATGCACTGCACCGATGTAACACTCTTATTATGTTTAAACATACTAAATTAATATTTGGTATTCAAAAATAATATTAGATCCTCTTTTTTTATCATTTGTCTTTTCTTTTAACGATTGATGACTTGCAGATTGATCTCCTAATAAATCTTGGTTGCGCCCTCCATTCAGTAGGTTGGTAGTAACGTATACTATATGAAAAAGTAAGTAGGAGCTAGGAGCCAATTTGCCTGCATTTCCGGACATGTTTACAGGTCAAATTATATATTATAACTAATATAATATTAGTCTACAAATATAATCAACATTTTACTTGGTGTTTAAAATAAATATTTAAATTTTAATTTTAATGCTCATTTGTCTTAGTTTTGAGGCCCAACATAAAACTACCAGAGTTCATTTATACAAATCAAACTTTTTTTCTCGTAGCGATTAGTTTATTTTATGTATCGGAGAAAGAATCAATCGATCATTAAAAAAAGATGACCGTTTAAATTTTTTTGTCTGCTGCTTTTGCAAATTTAAAATGATCATTTAAATACGTGCTTTTAAAAATAGTAGATCAAACAATAATTATTAACATAACAACGCACACACCCATAGCCCCGCACTAGGGAAACCATGTATCGCGGGTGCCATGGACGTACACACAGACTACTATAAATTACACCCAAACTCACGAGAGAAATAAATGTCCATATAAATTTTTCTCCTGTCACGGGTGTCGAACCCGGGACATCTGCGTGGCAGACCGCGTAGTAACCGGGTGAGGCAATTACATCATTTATTTCTTTATGATACATAAGCCATAAAGAATGAATTTTGAATCACTGTGATCAGCTTAGCGGTACACAATGTTTTCATAGTTTTAATGTAATTTTCATGCAATAATTTGTAAATACACTATAATTTTGCGTTCCAATTAATCACAAACTAATATTAATTACATTAATAATAATAGATATAATAATTTTGTCTATTATTAAAATACATAGAACACATGAAATGTTAATTTTATCTTCAATATTGAGAATGTCATATGATGCAGGTAATTAAATAATAATTCTGCACAATTATTGCAATTCCTAATTTCACGTCGAAGTTTGTTGTAGACCTTCATATCACTACAGTTACACTCTTTTGAAGTAGAGCTGTTTAATGTAATGCAAATACGGTAATTTTAAATAAGGCCAGCGCAGCGTAAGTTGAATTAATTTAATTTAAATGTTGAACAGGCTAAATGCGCCTGCAAATTTTTCATCTCTACTGCTCGCTTCAGTATTTTTACTACGACTATCGACAACTTCTCTTAATTAAAAGAAAAGCAGATGAATCTCTGTCATCATTTACAACTCGAGCTGGACACCTTGTATAGACGTTGTTATTGATTTTGTTTCAGCGGCGGCCCGTTTTGAAACAAGACTGCAGGTAGTGGACCAACCTAACATCAACATATCCCAAGAAATCATCAAACAGGTGATATTTAACGAAAGGTTGCATGGCAAGGAAATGTTGCATTCTCCAAAATCAATCTGAATACACGTACCTATCTATGTTAGTCAAAAAGTACAATTTCAAGTTTATTTAAAAAAAATCGCGTACCGTCGTAGGTCACATCATCGCGTAAATATTTATTCTAAAAAAAGAAGTTTCTAGATCGTATCTATTGAACGCCATTGAGTCTGACAAGGTAATATTCAAAATAGTCTGTCTTCTTAAACGCGTTCCCCAATACCAGATAAAAGAGATTGAAGCTTGATTTCCATGGATTTATTAGTCTGCGTTAAGGTGCCTACAGATTTGCTCGATTTTGTATGTTCACACACATGTTGATCAACAAAAAATACGATGTAGATCGTCTGTTGTTTACAAATTTACTCTTTTTTTAATTACACATATCAGTCGCCAAAAAATCGAGGTAGTTTGTAAACTAGCTTTGAATCACCGTAGTCGGTCACATCGTCGATTGAGATCAAGAGGTCTGCATATGGTGTTTTGACATAAGTATTTGTGGATTCCTTACTCCGAAACGTCATATGACAGCTACCGCGTCGAATTTTTACATTACTTTCATCGTAAAACTGAGATGTGTAGTACGAATGAGCTTCGTTGCGAACGAAGTCACATAGTAACGAATTTCATGGTAGACCTGAGCGTGTGTATGTTGTATATGAAAATAAAATACATTTCGCATAAAGAAATCTTTATGCAACATAAGGACGCTCCCTCACCACGAACTCGCGCCAACGAGTTCTCGGTTCTCCTCCCTCGCCCGCCGCTGTATTCTCGAATTTGAACTGTTAAGCCGGACTTTTCTGACGTGTCGTGTCGTGTCGTGACGCGTCAGAACGGTAACGGTTTCATACACAGAACACAAGCCGTCTCGTCAGATTACGACACACTAATATAAATCGAACCATATTAAATGTATGAAACCGACACCGTTTTAACGCGTCACAACACGACACTTCAGGTAAATGTAAATCCGGCTTAATTACATTACAAGCGAATGCCCGCGGTGAAGGAGCGCCCTAAGGGTTGATCTCCACGACATACTATAATATATTCTTGTGAAACTGTAGGTTTGAAAAATATCACTAGTACAATATACTCGTTGTATGGGCCGCCTTAATCCATGCATGGATTGTAGTGTACACTCGTATTTATCTCATACATCTTCTAGGACCATAACGTCGATATTTTTATATGGGCTTACGGTTCTTAAACTATTTAAACTTTTTCAGATCACGAGCTACTTGAAAGCGTCAAACATAACTTTAGAGGATGATATTGAAATCTTAAATATAAGGTAAAACATGTACTTAACTAAATTTCTAAACTTCCCGTTTAATTTTTCCAATAGCCAATTAATCTCGAAGTGTTACTTACCTAAAACATGTTTCTGGTGCCTATCTTTAAAGTTTTCATTTAATTTTTAACTGGCAATAATTCGTACCCTTGGTATTACAAAGCGACTATGTGATCATGCGTCAAAAAAACGTATTTTTGCGACAATGATAGTCATAAAAATAATACGAACTACATGAAATAAAATTTGTATATGCAAAACTTTATAATTCTCCTATTTAAGCATAAAACTTATCGACTAGTTTCGTTCTTACAATTTTTAAACCTCTCTTCTGAAACGTTGTCATTTTGCAGATGTGACCTTATTACACCAAAGGTGCGATTTGTGTTTTATTTTTTATATGGCAGTAATTTTGAAATCGATCGTGTAATCAGTAAGGGCGACGGTAGCCTTGTGGACGAACGGTTGCTCTTCAATGGAGACGTAGATGGTTCGAATCCCTATGACGACATGCACCTATGACTTTAATTTCTAATTTAAGTACCTTTGTAAATGTAGCATTACAACCTGTTTGCATAACGAAAAAGGTTTACAACTTTTGGAAAACTTGTGAAGTCCCTTGGCCGCAATGCATTGCGAATTCTGGCTTAAACCGTCCGTTTAGAGACTCGTGCCCAGCAGTGGAACGAATAATGGGTCGATGATGATTACTTGGATTGGTTCATGTATTTATAATTGAATTAAATGTAATCCACTTTACAAACATTTCAGTTCCCTAGAAGCCACTAACAACGCGCGTACAGTGTTTTTGCGGATTTGGGGCACACGCAAAGAAGCGGGTCAGATGCGTGCTTCACTGTCGCGATTAGCGGCCACGCGCACTCGCACCGACCGCCTTCGCCTACTCAACACACCGCTGCACTTTGACATGCACCCTGCACTTACCCTACAGGTAACCCCGTCTAGTTTTACTATATAATTATGCGCTCTAATAATTGTATGCGTTAAATTTATATCGTTTGAGATGTGTGCGCCGCCGCGCGGCCGCTCCCGGCGAATTCGATAGACGTAAAATCGGCGTGGCGAAAATCTATTTTATTTTAATTAAGTAGCAGTTTATACAGTTCAATACAAAATTTCATTACGATTAAAATTAATTGCAAAACATTTATTCATGCTATATGTGTATACAATTAAGAGCGTTTATTTTTAAATGATTGTTTTTTAAGCTGATTATTTTTGTAATACTACCTACTTACGCAAAATAGAAGTTAAAGTTTTAAAAATGTTGAAAATGGATACGAATATGTATTTAAACAATGTTTTTGAGTTTTTTTTAACATCTGAGAAATATATGCCACGCCGATTAGGTACGCCGCGTATCGCAGCTAGTCGTCAACCATCAGGATGCCGCCGTCAACGATTTTACGATCGACACAAATCTCTAAATCATATACACATACACTCACAAGGGTACACCCCCACTCTGCACATCGGTGGAATGTCTCAAAAGTCTCAATTCATTTTCAGGTTAAATCATAATTAACATTAGAAAATAGGTACCTAAATATAGGACCTACACACTTCCTTACCAAACGATTAACCGTTATCAAAGCAGACTAACCTACTACTGCTTCGTTTAACAATTAAAGAATTCAGAGTGCCAACTCGACCCCAATAATGTCGCGACCCGGTGAAAGTTTAATTATTTGAAATGTGCATTCTCTAACGTTCGTACGGGGCTGGCGTGTGGCCAGCGCGTGCTCTCTCTGCTGTTCCTCGTTAACCTGACTTAGCACCTTCTTTGTTACACTAATAGGAGGAGAACCTTTAGCGAGCCAACATAAATTACTTTTATAGCCGCTTGCAACGTTGAATTGCTCATTTGCGGTGTGAATTACCTGTTGTACGAGTATGCATAGTAGTTAGGCACATTTTATTTAGATAACACATATTTACACGCATGTAGAGAGGTAGAGACGGGTATGGTAGGCGTTTAATCTAAACACATGTTGCGACTTTTCACTGGTATTTATTTTAAAATGAATTGACGAATACATTTACTACAAATGTATTTTTACGTAACATGTACATATATCAGTGGCGAGGCGTTCCCCAACACTTAAAAAAACATTTATCAAAATATTCACTATTAGGTATACATAAATAACTTGTCCCGGTGCATCTCAACCAATCAGCGCGAGGTAAGCCGGCGGATCGGCGAGTTCTATTTCATACTCGATGTCTATTCGATATATATAATATATATAAATATAGATGTTCATTCATGAAATCTACGCGCTCCTATCAAAATATACGCACACAGTTTGGATATAATTTTTGGTTGTGTATGTGTATGTCCATGGCACCCGCGACACAGGGTTTCCCTAGTGCGGGGCTATGTTGAATGTGTGCGTTATTATTATTATTGTCGAATAGCGTTCACTTAAATTTAAACCTTATTTCAACACATTATATTTTCATTTGTTTTAATGTCAGAATCGTTGCCAGATGTAAAACTTTCTTAAAATAATGTAACAAAATTATTATAATTGCAAATTAATACAAAATATGGTTAATTTCTATTTTGTAAATCTTAACGATAAATAATGTTACATATGTATCTATATTTAATTGGGCGTTTCTTTCTAATAGAACTCGGTAACGAATGTTTGTGTATAGAAGGTCATGGTAATTCATAGGTAATTAAAATAGCAACACTTAGCATAATGTGTTTGTTTACATACTGTCGTATCGCGACGAGCAGTTTAAAATGTAAAATTACTTTAAAAGCTATGGTTATTTTATGTGTACAATAAGTTATCCTGTCAAATGAAGTGAACTAGTATCTTGTGTCCTAATAAGTGTTGTGCCAAGCGTCTTTTTAACAGGAAAAGAAATTTTTGTTAAAGTGTTTTTTGTTTTTTTTAAAAACTTAAAGCTTCTGCTTTACCAAAGACGATTCACGCCTCGCCATTGACATATATATATGTACACTAGGTATAAGTCAAGTCGAATAAAAGATTTTAGATTTAAAAGAACTACTAAAATATTTTTATCAATTTGGAATAAATTCCAATAAGGCACAACTCGCACTGGCGCAGAGTCGAAGCGTCGCGTCGCGTCCTGTTTTTCAACTAGAACGCTTGGCGACGCGCGACGACGCGCGCATTATTACACCCGGATCACAGTGCGGTCGGCGTCTGGCGTCTCACTGCGCTCAAGTGATGCCGCGTCCATCCGTCCTCTATACTGTATCCAAGCGTCGACACGCGTCGACGCCCGTTTCCATATTTGCATAGAATAAATTTGTACCTTAATAATAGGAAATTAGAGATGAATATGCTATAGGCGAAAAACACGACGCGTCGCGACGCTTTGACTCTGCGCCTATGTGAGTTAATCCTATGAAACAACACAGTAGGTACACATACCTACATTTAACAATACGATACATAAAACATGAAAAAAACGAAAAAAACCATAACAACAAACAATAACAATTAGATGTACACACAAATAACCCATAAACAAGAATCAAATAACTATAACAATTTTTTTATTTATTATTGTTATTATAACAATAAATAATGAAGTGATAAGCCGTAAAATATTGCTTGCTTGCTTGCGTGCTTGCTGTGCTGTTACGGAATCTGTCATCCACTCACATTGGTGTCGTCTCACGGAAAGTGCTACGACACTGATTTTCAGTGGCTCCAGTAGCAGAAAACACATGACCCTATATTATGACATTATACATGTATTATTACATACAATTTATTGTAGTACGAATAAAAATTAATTTACTTACTTGTTTTGTTTCAAGACACTTATCGTCAACCAGAAACCAGAAGTATGGGAGGGTTCTGAATATATTCTAAGCTGTATGGCATACGGATCTCCAGAGATTGAGTTCACATGGTACAAGGACGGAATTAAGGTTAACTTCAACGGCACTACTAGGTAAGTGTTTGTATATTATGTACTAAGGTATACCTATATGATCTATAATTTTACTTATAGGTATAACTTTTATCTCTCTCTCTCTCTCGCTCTTTTTCTTTCTCTCTTTATATGTTTGTTTGATTTGTATCTCGATTATGATATGATTGATGATTTGAGACACTCTTTTCACCACAAACACAACAATAAACACGTCTACCATTTGTTATCAGTTTTTAATCACCGAGCGAACGTTTCAATTCTATAAAGAAAGGCCCGTTTTGACCCGCGCTTTGCAATGCGAGTGTACCGCGAGATTATGACAATGTGTGCATCCGTAAATACACGGTGCACGGCGAGCACGCACACATACATGCTGCGATGCTACGTTTGTATGGACTTACCCAAACTGGTCTTATTATCCCATGTTTATAATAGGTTTCAATGACATTAGTACATAGCATCTACACCATATCTGTCAAATACAAAGAATAATAAAATCGTCACTTTATCGATTTGGTATGGTGTGTTTTGCATTTTATTGAATAGGTGTTTAGGATCTGTAATAAATTTCAAAATATAATATAATTATATATAAAATATAATTTTCTTGTACGACCTGAATGCACCGCGTTCAGCGTAACACCCCTAGAAACAAGTCAACTATTGTACATTTCACGAGCATTTCAATACAACATTGCTATTTGCAATACAAAGACGATATCCTGAGAACTGCGAGTTGCTATGTTAGCAATGTCTATAGTGTACATCCCTTTGTAGGAACCAAGTTGGAAGCAGCCTTGTTTGTTAACACAATAGGCACTGTAAATTAACAGACTTAATACGATCTAAGTTTTTAAAATGTCTTTTATCTTAGTTTTGATCCGTAGTTAATATTCCTACTCCGCCAACGAGGAGTTGCAAGGTTCTGGGTATTGTTATCAATACGTTCGTCCCTTTCGGTATGTAGATCCACTTGTAGTCATAGATGTGATAATTGGACCATTTCTAATCGCAGTGTAATTTTGTTGCTGTTAATCCGTCTTGTTAACGTAACTTAGCACTGTGTTATCAGAGTATTGCACAAAGCTCAATATTGTAGAAACTCCTAATTCTGTTGCTGCACCGGTCACAAGATCCATTTTTCCTTTGAAACTCATGAAATGAAGAAATGATGACAAAAAAGACAATAATAAAACTTTTTTGTTAAAAAAACCGACCTCAAAAGTTTGTGGAATTACATCTATTTGCCAAGTTTTATTGAAGTCGGTTACCGGAAAGTGTAGTTTGCGTGTGTAAGTGTAGTTACCCTTAGAGGTGGAATATTTTCTTTAAATTTAAATGGGACCAATAATGAGGCACCCTCTTTTCAACAAAAAAAAATTAATTGAGGAACTCCTCCTTTTAAAGTCGGTTAAAAAATGATAGCCTCACAATTTATGTTTAACAATGTCGTTCTTTAATTAAGTTTTTACTGAATGTCAGTATGTTTCACCACCATGGTATTCAATCATTTAACGTCTTTCCTTTTAAAATCTTTTTACAAATTTTTGGCAATCCTCATTAGGGTTGAGGCTCAATGTTACACTTACCGCAAATACTTGAGGTGTGGATAGTAATTACAACATACCTTAAAATCTACTTACTATAATCACGTATGTTTACTTTTATGCCTTAATGTCGCTATAAATTTTCCAGAGATATTTGGACACGAACAGTAGCAGAAGATGCACTCGGTCGCCGTATGTCTGTGCTAGGTGTCTCTGAAGCCAAGAGCCCTGACGGAGGCCGATGGTCCTGCGCCGCTCAAGACGCTGGCAGACGAAGATGTAGAGCGCTGCGGCTTTCTGTTCTCAAACCCCCGGATATACGACTAGTACCGTCTACATTGACTGTTAATAAGGTTAGTGATGTGAAAGCTAATGACAAACTCGCCGCTATTGGGTCTCATGGGAAAACGTCCAAAAATATGTCTAACGCCGCTGATTTACTACGACAACTAACAATATGGGCAGTATATCCTTGTCATTAACTAACGCATTTGAATTTTGGTAACTTTCCAGATATGGCCTTTTTTATTCGAAAAATGTCAATTACACTGATTTTGCTTAACAAAAAAATTGGGACTAAATAAGATATAAATTACAACTTTTTTTTAAAAAAAAACGAACTCAAAAGTTCGTGGACTTATATATATATCTATTTGCCAAGGTTTATTGCAATCGGTTACTGGAAAGTGCGTGAAACCGGATTCATTCCCTAGTTTGCCACCCTGAGAAGTAGAATACTTTCTTCACATGTGAATGGAATCAGTGCTGCGGTACCCTCTTTCCAATAAAAAAAGAATCATTAAAATCGTATCACGTTTGTAATCGCGTAACATACATAAAAAAATACAGGCGAATTGCGAACCTCCTCCTTTGTTGAAGTCCGTGGAAAAAATGCTTATAGAGTGTTGTAGATCACGTTTCGCTGATTTCAGACATCTTAAGCACTCAATTTCACTAAAATGTCGATTGCGCTAGTTATGATAAAAAGGACAGAATAGTTCCTTAAATGCAAAATAATATAGGAAATGAAACTATTTTTCCGGATTTAAATCGCGTATATTTGTTTTTTCAAACAAACCGACGTTTCGGGCCCTTTGCAGGTCCCATGGTTACGGTTGACTGAGGTGGTACAGTCTTCAACCAGTTATGTCTAATATTAATGCAAACCACCCTATTTTTTCACTATAGTTACAATAGTTTTTAATTAAATACCTTATTTTTAATTTTACAAAGAAAACATTCCAATTTACGCTACATTAAGTTTTACAAATTATTTTATTGAATGAATTTTTATTAAGTTTAATTTATTATTAATTATTAATAGAAATTAGAATAAACTAAAACATATTAATTAGTACTGCAGTCTTATGTCTGTTTGGGATTTTTCATTAGAGGAAATACTGGATCCCAAACTGATGGTACGGAGAAACCATCTTCCCTGTTGAAATTAGGATGTTTTTTAATTTCAATGGCCTCTCGCAGCATCCTGGGCAGATAACGGACTTCTTTTGCAAGTACCTGGGGTTTGTCAAACTTCATTGAATGTGTAGGTTTATCCATGACATGCTCGCAGACTGCAGACTTGTTTACGCGACGATGTTTGACATCAGCTATATGTTCTTTGACGCGGGTACAAATACTTCGCTTTGTTTGTCCAATATAAGAGAGACCGCGTTAATTAATAACTATTGTAACTGTAGTGAAAAAATAGGGTGGTTTGCATTAATATTAGACATAACTGGTTGAAGACTGTACCACCTCAGTCAACCGTGACAATGGTACCTGTAAAGGGCCCGAAACGTCGGTTTGTTTGAAAAAACAAATATACGCGGTTTAAATCCGGAAAAATAGTTTCATTTCCTATGTGTAACAATCGCGAAAACCTAAGAATACAAAATAATAATTGTAACTTTTCATAGAAAAAAAACCGACCTCAAAAGTCTGCTTTTTTCGATTTTCTTGGGATCCCCTCATCAGATTCTGACTTCTTGGTGACAATGGGACTGTTACGAACTCCTTTATACATTTTATATTTTCTTTTCTGGTTTTCATGGTGACTGTTGATTTGTTGAATGCACGTATTGTGTCAAGTGAAAAGTCGGCTTATTTATTTGCGGAAAATAATTAGTGATTTGTGATAGCCGAAACGAACCCAGAACAGCATCAGAGACCACCTCGAGTGGTCCTTCAAACAAATTTCAAAAAAAAAACAAAAGAAGAATTTTCAAATCGAGACGGTCGAGAAATTGGTGAATACACGGACATGCCTGTAAAATTTGTGGATTTTCTTCGATTTTTATGGCATCCTTTCATCAGATACTGACTTGGTGACAATGGGACCACCACGAAAATGCACCCTTTCAAACAAAAAAACAATTTTCAAAATCGGCCCACAATTGACGAAGACATCTGAAAACATTTAAAATATACATACAGCCGAACGTATAACCTCCTCCTTTTTTTTTAAGTCGGTTAATGATTCATTTATTTGGCAGTTGTATGAGGTTATTTATACCTACAAACGTGCCTTTGAGGCAATGAGTTCATGAGATATTTTCACGTGTCATAGGGTGACAATGTAAGCATCACCTGCTTGGCGGACGCTGGCCGCGTTCATGGAGCCTTGGGCTTCAGCTGGGCTAGGGAGCGGAGTTTATTACCACTTGCACCTGGACGAGAAGTCTGGGAAGACTTGTATCCCGCCGGCAGCGTATTAAAGCTCTACAATATCCAGGTCAGTTTTGAAATGATTAATCATTATGAATTAATTGTTTTATTGGGTAACCTATCACAAACTCGAAAAATTTTTTGTCCGAAATAACGTTTGTTCGAATTTTCGTTATACCGAAAACCGAATTATAACAAAACAGTTGTTCTTTCAGGATATGTTGAATGTTTAGCGCAAAGACACGATTAGGTTCGGTTAGGCTAGGTTAAGTTAGGTTTAAAAGAAAAATCATTTTCCTCTCAAAATTACTTTCGAGGTTATGAAATTTCGATCAAACGTTATTTCTTCCCAATGTCATTTCGACCTACTGATAGGTAACCGTTTTATTCACCACCACTATTTTCAATTATTTTTGGTGAAATTACTCCACTAGTTCGTTATAATTATTAATACAAAGATCGAGAACTTAGAAAATTTTATATTATTATAAAATGTTTGTTTATTGCTTTCTGATCTAAACGATTCGATTTGCCTTTCTATTGAATCGATTCGCTTGAAATCGATACAAAATTATTAGATCGTACGCACTTGATTCGATCTTCATAAAAATGGAATCGTAATATGCATATTACGATTATATACATTACATATATAAGGATGCATCCTTAGTAGTGAGAATCCACAGGATTGAAAGGTGGGTATTGCGTAAAGTTGTCCCTATTTCATCTAAAAAAGACGTTTTTAATCTAAATTTGAAATATGTATGGAATTATATCAAATTCCGCATTTTCCGTTTCTGCTCACGATTTTGGGCAAAAATGGGTTAAAACCCGGGCGAGTTGATGGCGTTTTATTTGAACCCACGGCCCATCTCTGGTCCTGTAGATCAAACATTGTATACAATTTTTTAATCAACTATATGCCTCGCAATATATGAAGAGTGTGAATAATGACATATATGTACTTGAACATATTCGTCTTTGTGAATGTTAAATGAATGTCATACTTCAGAAATCGGGAGAGTTCAGATGCCAAGTATCATCAGTGGCTGGTACGAATGCCAAAGGAGTCACTATGTGGGCCTTAGGTCCTACTGATGAGGCTTGCCCAGCAGAGGCGTCACACGGCCTCCGTTGGCCAAAGACGGCGCCTGGAGCTCACGCTTCTGCTAGTTGCCCACCGGGGCATAGTGGAGAGACTACAAGGTATCATCCAAATTGAAAGATATAAGTTTTCCTGAGAGCAATGTAATAACAATCCTCATAATACTTATGGGTTTGTTATCAGGTTTTGTGAACCAAAAACTGGACAGCATGGAGTGAAATGGATGTTGCCTGATTTCTCCGGATGTGTTGCTGATTCTTTAAAGGAAATTTACAATCAGGTAAATAGTTTGCACTACTTACCTACCGGTTTAAACCGGAGAAACATTTTCAGTAATTGTGCACAGATTGTGTAGTGTTACTGTCAGTAACTTAACGTCTATAAAACATTCTTATTCTGATTCCAGTTTATCCAGATCTCTTATGGCTACTCATGGGAAAACGTGTCTCATGTTGCACACCAATACGGCGCAGTGCTCCGGTCCCTCCCCGCACATCCCGGCGAGGGCACTCTACCCCTCCAACATTCGAGAGAAATGCTACACTACCTTCTTTCAGCAGCTGGCAAACAGCAGGACAGAGCTGAGAGTATTGAACACTTATTGAAGATCTACGATACGCTGCTTAAACATCCTGACTCTTTTTTAGATGAAGAGGTTAGCACTTTACACATTAGAAGACGAAATTTGGAAAATTCTAATAGTCATGTCATCACTGTACCACGAGCGTACTGAGCGCAAAAATAATTTTACTCGTGATTCTAAATGCTGTAGAATTAGAATTTAGAATTTGAATTTAACATTCCTTTAATTAACTGCGTAAAAATTCCTTATAACTCAATGAACGTTTAGAGCCAGTAAATTTATTTGTGTATAAATTTAAACAAGTAGACACTTGTACATTACAGAAAATTTACGACCTCCAAAACGCAATAGTTAACACAGCGGGTATGAAAGACCACCTGGATTCCCGGCTCCATGAGTTCTCAGTGAAGTCGAAACCCGTCAGAGAAGATAATGGGGCACATTTTAAACTACACCATACGCTGTCAGGATCAGAAGAATGGTTGCTAGCTTCAGCAGGAGTTGAACTTCTTGGGAGGACAGGAAACGCCTCTGTTATTACCGTGTCGTACCACAACTTGGCAGCTAGATTGCCATCATTGAGGAGGTCTATTGAGTTCAAGTAAGTAGATGTCTCTCCTTACACTAGAAAAGACAAGAAGATTTATTTTAGCTTAAAATACGAAATGTATTGTTTCTTTTCCTAAGAGTATCTCCACTGAATATTCACAAATTTTGTGCTGCATACTGAGCCGAAAATATCGGTTTTCATTAGTTTGTAGAACGCCACTTACCGACTAAAAGGTCGATGATGGAAGGCATATAATTATTCATCCTATATAATATTTCACCAATTTAATATAGTAAAGTTTAGTAAAAAACTAATTAATTTATTATTGTAGATATCAGTTATTTTTGTAGGTATTTAACATACAAGGTCTGTTCCAAAGTATTTGACCTTCGTCTGTTATTCCGCGCTGGGTCTATTCATCATAATCTGGCTCATGGAAAGCCTTCGAACTAATCTCCATTTGACTGAATAACACTCTCCCACCGGTGATTTCACATCCCGAAGCAGTTATGGAAGTCAATTTTCGGAAATAGCCTTCAGTGGAATCGTCGCATTTTTTAAATCGTCTCGATGTCGTTAAACCGATCCCCTTTGTGCGGAATTTTCAATCTCAGGAACGTGGTGCACCATAAATATGCTCCTCTTGGAGCTCTGAAAAGATTTGGTGGACGAAGAACACGGCCGAGTTTTTGGGCAAGTGGCAATTTTCACCATGATAATGTGCCAGTGCCTTCATAGAACCTTGTCCAACAGTTTTTGGCAAAACATAAGATTATTCAACTTCGCCAACCTCCATACAGGCTCGATGTAGCCCCTATGATTTTTGACTGTTCTCAACATTGAAAATTGTGTTCCATCGAGTATATTATAACCAAAAATAGAGACGAAAAGACATTTAATTTATTTGAAAACTATTCTGCCAAATCATTACGATGACGACTACTGAGTTCTGATTGGCCAGCCCGAATTCGAAATTGTCGGGTGTCGTCAATTGTTTCACTTCAATACGACCAGTTTGCCATGAGCTTTGCCATAATGGACGAAAATTACAAAATGATATATTTAATTACCAATGAAATGTGATTCCGTTTATTTTGTAATCAGATGTTTTACTGTTTTTCCCACACCTCCGAACGGAACAGCCCCCATTATTAGAGATATTATCAGTATTGCAATAAATACAGAATATTTTTGGAATATACAGATACATACACACAGGTCAGTTGTTGGCGCTGTACTATTTCAGTTTTCTAATTTGTGATTTCAGCGCAAACGAGAGTTGATATTTAAAAGTGATATAGAGCCCATTTGCCTGATCAGTTGCCAGGGATGAATGACCCATATTTCGTCTCCATTAATCTCTGGTAATATACTCGATGTTCCGATCAAAGGGCGTCAGTTTAATGACATAAAGACGATTTAAAAAATGCGACGAGTGCATTGAAGGCTAAGTATTCCGAAAACTGACTTCCATAATTACTTCGGGATGTCGAAGCACCGGATGGAGCATGTTGTTCGGATACTTTTGGGACAGATCTTCTATGTGTTGTTCCTATTATGTGCCAGAATTTTAGTTAAGTACGTAGATAATTATTAGAATTTAGATTTCCTAAAGTTTATTTCGTTTAATTTTCCCGTTTCGTTTAATTTTAATATGATTTATTTTATTTCTTTCCTATGTTATAACCTGACATGGTGCCGCGCGTTGCAGTAAGTCGTCTTCCAGGAGCGGTCGCGAGATGGAATATCTACTCTCATCACAACAGATACAAGTATGGGCCAGAGGCGCGGGAGTCGATAAATCTCTACAGCATACTGTCAGTTTGCTGTTCACTCATATCAAAAATTATAGTGCTGTCGGTAAGTAACTCCATGCACCAACTAGTCGACACAACTAACTCGAGAGGACTGTTAATCTCCATACTCGGAAAAAAAAGATCGTAACTCAGAAAAAGGTGAAAGTTCCGTCTTATATCCAGATGGCGCTAATCGATATCTTGGAAGTAGTTTATATTATGTAAATGGCCGTGGATATAATTTAATTCACCATTAATATCGAATATAAGTAGTAATTGTATTCCTTGTAATATTATTCAAACATGGTCAATATTTGAATAATCCAATTACTCAAATGTTGAACATGAGCTAAAATTATTTTCTGCGCTTTGACAAATATGCCTGCGAATAGATGGCATTGTGTGTTACAACCACAGACATATTTAGATAGACGCCGCAAATATACGTACTTCGCGTGCTCAATGCAAGTGAAATACACTTAGTTGCCGCTGCTACACTTCAGAACGCGCTCGACCGTTATCGTAGATAAATACCAGTCGAAAACGCGAAAAATGCGTAATTGTGAACCAGAACTGTGGGTAAACGAGTAAACCGGGACGTTTCCTTCCAATTAAAAAAAAACAATTATTTTGATTTTGTATGAATGTCGAGAAAACAATTATGCAACCGAGTGTATGCCTCATCATTTGTAATACATTGCGGCTATCACTTGGTGCGATATATTTGTGACCCTTTGTTAATACGCCATGAATATCGAACGAAAGCACTTTTGTACAATGCATTCAATTTTTTCAATTTTTTTTTTTGGCCAAATTTGACATTTAGCGATGTATACGTTAGGCAACACTGTTCTTGATTCTGATCGACTTTGAAAACAAAGGGACGAACATTATTATGACCTTAACAATATTATAAAAATATTCTATAATTTTTTGTTATAACGTTTAGTAAAGTTTCGTTTTTTTTTTTTCAGTTTTGCAGTATCTATTATCAGTACTATCTGTAATTTCGATAATTTTTGCAGCACCTTGCCTCGAATATCCGAATATAGTGAACAAATAATTACGTACATCGCCGGATATGTAGTACGAGTAATACAAAAAATGAATAAAATGCGAAGAACGTGACAGTGCGCTGTCTTTACAAAAACCTGGAGTTGGTCATACGTACTAGTTCGTTGCTTTCAAGGACGGAGATGGTTTAGTTTATTCCACCTTAGATTCTAACCAAATATGCAGAGTAGCAGAGTTAGAAATCCGAGAAATAGTAAACAAATCACAAAAGTTTCACAAGAGGCCGTTATTAAGTAAACCTCTTCAGATTAATAACATTTTACTATATTTCGTCAGCAGTACCATTTTCAGTTGTCGTGCCATTCATCAATTGATCAATTACCAACAGAAAACCATCTAGTAAAATTGATTAAGGCAGTCGCAAGTTCATATATTGACGTGCGTTTTCATTATTAAAATTAATCGATAAGATCTTCTATTACAAAAAGATTTTATAGATAACTCATTTTATTGGAAGGACAATAATTTTAAGTCGATTAAAAATTAAAGTCTTAATTTTTTTTAAGGGCTTAACTATCTTATTCTAATATTTTTCTACTATATTAATATTACGACTACTTGTAATCAACAAATACTTGAACAAAAATTATTCTATTTAGAATCGATTAATTTAATGGAATAAGCGTATTTACGTTTAATCGATTAAGAGCGATCGAGAAGGAGGTTTCCCATCACTAAATAGTTCTTGTGACGTCATAGGGGGTACAAAAAATGTGGCACGCTTGGTTTTCATACAAATTGCTGTACTTGCGGCGTCTATCTAGACATATGTCTGTGGTTACAACCATTACTAAATTTATGGTTATAACCTAATTTATAAACTAACGCACGCTGGTATGGGTAGATGGCGCTAATGCTAAACAAAATAAAAGAAAGCCGGCAGTATCCATTAAAATCTATGTAATAAGCGCCATCTAGTTGATTTGTTTGTTATCACTTGAAATTAGAGTAGCTGGGATAAATCTGTACCTCCTTCAAAAGTGCGCTAAGTCAGAAATTCGTGTTTTCAGCGTCAATATTGTGGTTTATCAATAATTAAATTTAACTTTACATATTCTCAGCAAGTAACAATACAAGCAAATTGTATCGTTTGTCACTTTAAATCGTGGTTGTATTAGATGATTTATTACGAATTGTACCAATTTTTTAGTTACTTATTAAGATTACAAGAATCTTGCCGAACAAAATTGTAATTAAAATTAATGGGTTTTTTGCGAATCAGCTGAAATAGATGAAATTGCGCAAAAATTATAAAAATTGTATCACATAAACTCTAAAGTTGCGACCAAAAGTTTTGTGTATATTGCTATATATTAATTGGTATTGTTACAATATTGTAGTTCAAGTATAGTCAATTATATCCAAATTATAATTTGGTACTTATCGCGACATCTGGTGTACCGATAGGTACTAAATACCTGACTGCGCTGTCTTAAAGTCGTATTCCAGAACTCTACTCAATGCTCAAGTCAGGATTTGAGTATGGTTTAAAGCACTCGAAATCATACTCAACTCCCTGCCATTAGGGTCGTATTTCCAGTGCTTGTGTTTCAATTGCAATCCTGACTTGAGCATTGAGTAGAGTTCTAGAATACGACCCTTAAACTACGAATAGCGGGCCTCTTGAGTTATTGGTCTATGGTAACTCTTCTTACTCACTTCTCACGCGTCAATTTTTGAACTACAATTTATTTGATAAATCCAAAAATATGGCTATTTAGCCTGTTTGTTTAAAAGGGACCAATTATTAGAACTGTTTTTCAAAATTAGTCAAAGTTAACAAAAGACCATCTTGTTTTAAGTCCTTGTAAATGACTTGTAGGTATTCCTACTTACGTGTTGAACCTCCTCATATTTATTCGCAGGTACCATAGACAGCGTCTTAGATTTAAGCAAAAGACGAGTAGCTTCGTCTTCTTCATTCTATATATAATACGATTGCCAATCGTAGCGGTTATGGCAATCTTGAAATTTTTTGAAAGGTTGAAACTAATGTTATTGCGAGAAGAAACGATGAACTTATTCAAAAATTGATTTTGTAACACACTTTACCAGCATCGAAACTAGCATGTGGACTACGTACACCGTCGGACCCACGAACATGGACCACTAAAGCCTGTGAAGTGAGGGTACCCTCAGAGCAGACTCATGTCGTTTGCAAATGCCGAGGTCTCGGCACATACGCGCTCTTCACCATCGCGAGATCCACACTGGTGAGTGAAAATACTTATTTTCACTCGTTGATAACGTGAAGAAAGGTATGCAACTTTTGAATAACCTGGTAAGTATGTAGTAGGTAAGTAGGAATTATTTTATAAGTTTGCAGACACCTACGCTTTTCGGAGTTAAGGGCAATAATTAATGGGCCAGCTCTAAACTGAATTACCGTTGATTTACCGTTAATCTTCATCTATATTGATCTATCTACATCTAACCTACCTACCTATTTCATTTGGTATCACACAATTTTTTTTATGTTACCAATGACGGGACGATTAAATTGACGAGACATAAGTTGACAAGTCACATTATGTAATTTATCCAGCACCCTTACCCTTCAAAGTCGGAACGCTGTAATGCGCGCATTACTGCTTGGCGGCAGAATTAGTGGCAGTACTTCCCTGGACGAACTGTTTGTCATGGAGCTCTACTGTTACTAAAATCATCATCAATACTAAGATCATAAGGCCGCGTTCAAGTTTTTTTTTTTACTTTTTTCCAGACTGATGTAGAGAAAGATCTCCGTGGCATAGTCAAGATCACCGTCGGTTTAGGTGGCGCAATGTGTCTCGCAGCAGCAGCACTGCAACTTCTTGGTCTCGTACCGGGACAGAACTCCAGATTGCCTGTGTTGCTGAAAGCCGCCACGGCTGGAACGCATTCGGCTGCTATGTTGGCATTGCTGGAGTGCGATACTAGACAGGTAAAAAAATCTGCCAGAGACGGGTTTATTATAAGGTCATAAATATTGTA